CAGCTCGAAAAGCGGATCCCCAAGACAACCTTCATCACGGCCCCCTTATTCAGGAGGGACTTTGGCTGGGATCCGCATTTCGAGCTGGAATCCGTATTCCAGCTCGAAAAGCGATCCCCAAGAACCACCTTCATCACAGGCCCCCTTTCAGAGGGATTGGCTGGGGATCCGCTTTTCGAGCTGGAATGCCGGATTCCAGCTCGAAAAGCGGATCCCCAAGACAACCTTCATCACGGCCCCCTTTCAGGAGGGATTGGCCGGGGATCCGCTTTTCGAGCTGGAATGCCGGATTCCAGCTCGAAAAGCGGATCCCCAAGACAACCTTCATCACGGCCCCCTTTCAGGAGGGATTGGCCGGGGATCCGCTTTTCGAGCTGGAATGCCGGATTCCAGCTCGAAAAGCGGATCCCCAAGACAACCTTCATCACGGCCCCCTTTCAGGAGGGGTCCGCTTTTTTCCGCAGAGACTGTGCTTTGTTTTTCCGCATATTTGGTTGTTTTTTTCCGCTCTGCGGGGTTCGCACGTTTCCGCGCGCAGCGCCAAGCCTCTCGGGTTATGCATGCATGCGTCAAAACTACATAGGCCCATGTTTGTTTAGTGGGTGAATTGATTGTTGCCGTCATGTTTCAGAGCATCTCTAAAAGGGCAAACACCTTCCCCATTTGGAGGCTTTGGGTGAGGGACAACACTGATACATGTTACATAAAGCCATGACTAAAAGTGCTGCAAGTTGTCGAAAGTCAGTTATCCAGAAATTTTATTTGAGCCTATGTGGGGGCAAAACAAGCTCTTGTTTTTTTGGTAATGGTCACGCACCCTTACTCAATGCGACACACGCACGGAGGAGTCATTGTTCAAACCAGCTTGAAAACAGTTCTGGGACCATTCTTGGAGCCATTCTGAAACCACCTTGGAACCAGTCTGAAACAGAAGCCATTCAGAAACCACTCTTTAAAACGTTCCAAAAACACTCAGACACGCTGCAGAAACCTGTCAAATGCATTAAGAACTTTTTGTCATCATTCCGAAACCCAGTCTGAAACCATTCCGAAACCCAGTCTGAAACCATTCCGAAACCCTTTTGAAACCATTCCGAAACCATTTCGAAACGGTTCTGAAACCATCTCGAAGCCGTTCTGAAACCATTCTGAAGCCATTCTGAAACCATTCTGAAACCGTTCTGAAACCATTCTGAAACCATTCGGAAACCATTTTGAAACCACTCCGAAGCCATTCTGAAACCACTCCGAAACCCTTTGTTGAAGCCATTCCGAGACCATGCTAAAATGTTGGAACCATTCTGAAACCATTCCGAAAGCACGACGCTGCCCCCGCTTTGACAAACTGAACACATTTCGAAGCAAATCGTCGAATCTGTGCGAACGCAATGCGCAAAGCATTGTGAAATTGCCTCCAGGCATTCCAAAGTGCTTGCGCACGCGTTTGACGCCAGTGCAGTGTGCAGCCCTTCTCATTTATGAAAGCTTGTTGAGGCGTTTGTTGATTCATTCCTTCATCAGTGCAAATCTACCTAAGGAAACAAATTGGAAGTTGCGCTTGGGTTGGCTCATTGATTGCGATGGCCCTTATCGCAGAAATTGGTCAGCATGCGAGGGGGATTGTTCTCAGAACCTGTGTTGTGGCCACCAACACTTGACATCCAATATTTGCAAGGAATGTTTGTTGTTTTCTGAAATGAGAGTCATTGAGCCATCGAACTTGCGAAGGTGGAGGACGCCGTGCCATTTTTGGTCGGCGCGTGTCTAGTTTATCCATGCAGTCTTGCCTGACCTTAGATACGCCCATGGCCGTTAATTAAGACCCTCAGTACGTGCATGACTTTGGTGTCTTAGTCACTGCGGACTCACGGGGGTGACTTGCGTGTTTCAGGGACAAACCAACGTGCCGCCTGGCTGTTTGTCGGCTGTCTCTGGTCTGTCTCGTCGGTTTCTCTGTCGGTACAGACATCCATGATGTTGGACCTCCGCTTCCGGCAGGGCTCCTGGCACTTCTCGCGGAGGAGCTGCAGATCCATCGCGGCTGGCTCACAGATCGAGGCGGAGAGCGCCCACCCCCCCCCCAAAAAAAAAAAGCCGCGGGGCGGGGACGGGGGGACCGACAAGGTTTCCGAAGCCACAGAAAACGGCGGTGACATTTTGGGGGGGTGGCAATGTCTTGGCTTAGATCCTTTTGGGTGTTAAACACAGAGACAGTGAAGCAAACATAAGCAAACATTTTTTTGTTTTTTCGGTACCCTTAAGAGAACCCACTTATTTGCGGGTTCCTTTGTAAAACAACCCGGACAGGGAACCATCAAGCGAGACACTTGGGATGAAGTGTGCAAGCTGTCGACCATGAATCACTCGGCGCTTCAGCGACTGTCGAATAATGCGTTGAAATTCTTGTGGAAGCACTGTGAACAGCGGTTCAAAGCAACCTTGGTTTTCGAGCTTGAGACTTCCGCAGTCGCGGCATGGGACGATCCGGGAAGGGCTTAGCCAAGTACCCGTTCAATACCAGGGTCTTGTTCAGCTTCCTCTGGATTTTCCCGTAGGTTTCACAAATTACCCGCACAGTGCCAGAGCCAGGATTGAACCCAAAGTCCTGTAGAGATGTGGAAAGTTTCTTCTCACTTGGTTTACGCTTATGGTTCGGCTCCTGCGTTTGGCCTTGCTTCGCCCCCAAAAAGCGCACGCTCGAGTTTTGTTTGCGGATGTTTCCCCCCAAAAAGTGAAGGAGTACCTCCAAGCTAGGACCGGACCCTTCCTCTAATTGATCAGCCATGTTCGTCAGTTTTGGGTCGAGAGTACCAGCCTTGGGCTGCAAACCCTGGTGACGCGAGGTCAGGAGCTGGCATTGGACGCGCGCAGCTTTCTCGTGCAAGGCACGAGGGGTGTTGCAGTCGGAAATCAATCAACTAGTGTTGTGGTGTGCTTGTATTGGATTCATAAACCCTGCCCTTTTTTATTGGAGAAGCTAGGGGTAGGTGGCTGCTTCGCGGGATTGAGGACGCATCTAGAAATGAGATATTGGGCAGGAATTGAAATCAGAGGTGTATTTTATACTTGAACATGGTTCTGGAGTTGTTTAGTATTGGATCCAGAAATCGGTGGTACTTCTTCATCCAATGATTCCATTCAGTTGTGTGTGTGTGGTTTGTTTTGTTTGTTTGTTGGTTTGTTTGGTTGGTTGTATGTCTGTTTTGTTTTGTTTTGCTCGGCTGGTTGTTTGCTTTGTTTGAGTTTTGTTTGGTTGTGCCGTTGTTTCGTTGTTGTGTTTAATTGTTTGGCTCGGTTTGTTTTGTATTTGCCTTGTTTGTTTGTCTAACCACGTACACATCGTCCCTTCCCTTTAAATTTTCTTACTCAAAGTTGCATTCTGAGCATTTGTTTTTGCAAATCAAAGGGGTCCCTCTTTTCCAATTGGAACCCAATACTAAACAATGCAATTTGAAACAGTTCGGGCCCAAAACCGAGGGATCCTACAAAGGAGTTTTTTTTTTTTTTGGGGGGGGCAGGGGACCGTTTTTTTGGGGGGGGAGACCGGAACCATGGGACAAGGCCCCGTTTGCAGGGACATGAAGGGACGAATAAATGAGGACATTTAAACAGGTGGTCGGCGGTATTTTGTGTTGAGTTGTTCTTTGCTGAGTCTTGAACCTCCCAGATTTGTCATACGGAACGCAACCTGGAAACAGTCCCAACGCCAGACTACAAAGGACGCAACATGTGACGTGGCCTGAAATGCTACAGGCTTGGCAAGCATGAGACGAAAGGTAGGACCTTCCCCTTCATCCGACCCATTCACCTGGTTTCGGAAGATCAATTTACGTGGCGGCAAAGTGTTTGGATTTATGGTACCGTTGGCAGGCGGCAGGGTTCAACAACTTTTCCAAGCTTGGACACTGCATCCGCCAGTGGATGATGAACACTTTGATCAACCACCTCTAAAGTGGTCTTCCCAAAACATGAGTTTGCTCTTAGTGTTTTTTGGCAGGGCCCGAGCCCAACCACACACATTTTGTTTCAAGGCGAGCAAAGGGAGGGTGACGCGTGCGAGGCAAGCTGGTCCTGGCCACACCCATGTCTTTGCTGACCTTCGTTTGGCAGATGCTGATCGAAGCTGGATGCAAGTCTGCGGGATCTCTTCCGCCGGAAGCTCCCCTCAAGCCTCGGTAACTGGAACCAAGTCTTCCATTTCGTGCTTCACCGTGGACCGTCAGCAAAAAGCGAAATATGTTTATACCAGGTGCAAGTGGTTGCAACCCCCAAAGCCAACCCGTGACTTCTGGTGACAGGATTTTGATAGTTTGCCCATATGGCGTTGTGCTTCATGTTGACTGGGACATGTTGACCGGAAATGAAGCGTCAGATTAGGTTCCATTTGTTTCTCACATTTTCCTTTGGTAGAACCTTACTAAGGCCTTGATTGAGTGCTATCTAGACCTTATGGGGTATTTCTTAATTTTACGGCGTGATTAGGGTCAATTTAAGGGCTGCTTAGTATTAATCGGGCTTTATCCCGAAAACTACCATAGCCCTTTTTTAGAGCCTCACTTGGGCGTTATTTGCGCAATCTCAATCATGACCCCGGCCACTGTTTCCCAGCAAAACCCTGCCACAGTCTATGGCATAGAGTCTATGGTCAATTCTAAGTTCGGGACATAATGTGTTTGATTCATCAAAGATAAAACCAATCATTTGAGAGTCAACGTGTCAAGAGTTTGCTTCTCTTTTTTTGCTTGTTTTTCCCCCGAACTGTAGAGTCACTGCTCAATTTCGATTCATGGTCGGTTGAACATCGATTTGTTTGCAATCACACGAAGCAACGATGTGGGCCATGCAGAGAGAAGTACGTCCTCCAGGAGGCTCCCCTATTTGGGGAGAAACCCCGAGCGCATTGCGCCGCGGAGCTCAGGATGCGAATGACACGCAGCTTGGCTGACATTGGGCTTCGATGCATAGAATGGGATCTCAAGGCAGGGTGTCTTTTTCTTTTGACATCTTCTGACCAACTGTTTGGGAATCCAAGGGGATGACGGCACCTTTAGGACACCCCTCATTTTCATTATGATTGATTGGATGGTCAGAGGGACCCCCATCGATGGAGGCCCACCCTTTTGTACGCTTCTCCGTTGGGGAGGGATGGTGTGGAAGATGTTTTTAGCGTCTGGCGGTGTTGCGAGTCCGATGCACGAGAAGAGCGCCTGAGCCGTGAACAAAAGCAAGGACTATGGTTGAATCCCGAAATATTGCAAGCAGGGACAAGGGGAGTCCTCTAATTTCAACCATTGTGGTTGCATGTGCAGAAGCCGGGGCCCATGCCCAAATTGCAAGCAAACCAACGTGCAACCAGAAGGAAAGTTAGAGGGTTTCCCTGGTGCTCCACCAGCCCTAGCTCTGCCCCAATGAAACCAGCACTAAACCAACCCTACCACCGTAATCCTACTTGCTATCTTTCTGGCGTCGCTCGCGCTTAGGTCGCGAGAGAAGCTGAGCCGAGTCTTCCGGGAGGAGCTGCAGAGGAGTCGAGAAGAGGCGCCCGGGGAATTCGCTTCATGGCTGGCACTGGGCACCAAAGGAAACCCGTGAGCAATTTATGGTCCAACAAGATGTTCCGAGCCGGTTTCACATCTAGACTAAGATACAGCAGCAATATCTTCCGAAGGAGACCCCAGAAACGGGTTCGATCAAACGGGTCCCCATCGCCACAGGACAAGTCAACGGGCGACCCAACTGAGGGAAGCCAAGAATGACGGGCGTGGGGCGAAGTTGTGGGCCCCTAAATGTGGCGGTGTTCCTGGTGGTTTCCCTTTAGGCGAACTCGAGCAGGGTTCCTGGAATAAAAAGGGATCTGACTTTTTCACCATTGGTGTAGAAGAATTCCCAATGAGCAACAAGGGATCCGGCCAACAGATCGGCTTCCCCCAAGTTTAGGAGTCTATACTTGTACGCGAATGGTGGGTCCTCGTCATTTGGCCCCCAAAAAGAGTTGGAACGCGTTTTTGTCAAGCTTTCGGGGGTGGTTGTAAGGGGAAGCCCAAATGGAAAAACCATAAAGTGTTTGCAGAAGGAAGACTACTCACAGCCTTGGTGTGTTGCGGATGGGTGCTTTGACGAGATAGGCGTGCTTCTGGATGCATAAGTAAGGGATTCAACTGAGTATAAGTCCGAACAATCTTACTTCCCAAGCTTCTGAACTTGATACCTTTGCATGGGCAAAGCCACTTAGGTGCAAGCAACCAACTCCTGTTTTGGTCCATCAACGGAAGCGACAGCCGAGCGCCACGCCAGGTCCAATCAATGGTTGAAGCTGCTTGGCAAGCGCTATGGCAGGCGAGACCTGACGGTGGATGCCCCGCAATATTGCATAAGTATAAGCCATACTTCACAACGAAGCCATGGTAGGTTGCGGTAAGTTGGAGGGTTTCCTTGTTCCCATATACTTGGAATTAGAGTTGCTCCGAGCCTTCCGTGCCTTGTGGATTTCGTTTCCTTCGGTGGACTCTCCGATAAGTTGCCAACTCTCTACCCGAGGGATTCTGGAAGCGCAGAGCCCGGAGATGTAGGACATGTCCTTGTGACTTCATCAACCGCGATGAAGGGGTCTCCCAATCTAGGACGAACATATTGAGTATATAGTTGTTCAAAGCAGGTGCAGAAGCCAAGAAGGATTCTGTTTATGGCACCAAGTTACTCCGATCACTCGGGTTCATTGTCACCAAATGGCCGGATACAGGGCGGCTGATCCAGCATGTTCAAGTCTCCTTAAGCACCCAAAAGAAGACGACACTGACCGGCCCGGCTGTGGGGCCCTCGAGGAGCCCCTGAAAGAGGTCATTTCTGTCAGGGAAGCCTCGGCTCTTCCGGAAAGTGTTGAACCGCCCCTGTTGCCGCACTGCTGTTTGGGTGTTCCAGGAATTACTGTATGCCTTACACATAGAACCCAGCAGAGGGTCCCTTTGAAGAAAGCTAGCCTCCCAGGACACCTCAGTCAGCTTCCGTGTTCGGGAAGGTATTTTATGTTTTGGAACTCTTGGTCACAAACTGCAGCTACAGGGTTGGAGTTGGGGCGCGGAACAAAACAGAGTCAGGCAGGTAGGAGTCAAAATAGGAGAACCTACAAATGTTCGTTTTTGTCAAGTTCCCCTTTGACACCACCCCAAAAACATAATATTGATCAGGAACCGCCTCAATAGTGCGCGATGGACATGAATCCCCGCCGAGTTTTGATGTCCACCAAAAGGACCCCGACTATTTGTTTTCATCCAGATGGGTGTGGCTCAAATTAAACAGGAAGGGTTACGCAGGTTTTGGCCTTTGTTTCCACTTACCAGGGCAACCCATTTTGGAATTCCGGTTTTTGAGCCACAGCCATGTTTATATATATATATATATATATATATATGGTCCCCCCCCCAAAAAAAAAGAAGAAGCCCCAAAAGAGTTTGAGGGTATTTACAGTACTAGTACTTTCGTACCTAAGGAAGGTTGTCGGTTCTTGGACCAACAGCGGCCTTTGGCGCCTAGGACGTGCAGGAGGTCTCTCTGCAGCTCTTCGACGCCCGAGAGGTGCAGAAGGCGGTGGAGGGCGCGCTGGGCTCTCTGGAGGCGGGTGGGCGGGTGGGATGGCGGGCTGGATGTCATGTCCACCCACCGCGTTTGACATGGTTCCCTACCTAGAGAGCCGTGTTCGGTTCTTTTTTTTGGTTTTCCCCTAAAAACCAAATATATGTGGTTCAACCAATTTTTGGACCCGGGGGCACCAAAGAGAAAACACTGGAATTCAAAGCGCCCTCCAGGAATCCATGCAAACAAGAAGGCCGCCGCGGTTAGACGACGCCCCTGGGCCTCGCCTCTTTTGGCTCAAATTGTTTGCGCACGATCGTGCGGTGGACACGTCTGGAGCTCAGTGGGTGGCAAGGCGCCTGTGTTCCATCTTAAAATGGATCAGAAATTTCTGGGCTGCCCGCCGCGCTACTGAAGCAGGGTGCACTGTACGACTCATTTGGGAAATGGTGCCAATGTATGTTTCAGCAACTTGGGTTCCATATATTGCCGGGTTTAAAACGCAGCTGGACCCACTATGCGAAGCGACTTGCTTGTCTATGTCGAGCGCCAGGTGGAAACAATAATGTAGTTTTGGAGTAAGATTGAAAAACAGTTGCCCACGATCAAAGCATAGCTGCGCGCATCTCAAATACGAGAAGCAAAATGTCTTGATCAGCTCTGACACGCGTACCGCATCGGCAGTCGCCAGAAAAACCCTGTGAGAAGTGTACATAGCGCGAAGCGCCGTGTCAATCGCCACCAACGCATCATGCGCAGCACTGAGCACATCTGTCCGGAGGAAGGGCCTGTCAAGGAACGCCAGCAGCCACAATGTCATGAGGCGAGTGTCGCTGCCTTTCCAGCTTGTTTCTGGAAAGTAAGAAGTAGATGGCCAGCCAGTATTGTCGCGAGAAAAGGTTTTCACGTTTGGAGTCAAGGACAAGAGCCTGCAAAACGCCTTGAAGTCACTGTAGGCCTCCAGAAGGCGTACGTCAACTGATTTGCCTGCAAAATACCTTTCCTGCACCAAATAACAGAGCAGGGACGCGTAGAACGTGCGAGCTATCCCCAAATGTATGATATGGAAGACGTCTTTCCCCAGAAACAGCTCATGGCCCGCGCCCGGAAGGTCAGCTAAGCCACCCGTGGTAGTCCATGGGCGGGATTCTCCTATTGTGTTTCTCCACCCAGCTGATGGCCGAAGGTTTGCAAAAGCCATGTCATCACTATGGTCGCTCGCTTCGCACCAGAAACAACACTCATTTGGCTCCCGGCCAAAATTTCGTTTGCAGTGAAAGCTTTTTGCCAACGCGGGCAAGTCGCCTTCTGTAGCGGTCCACACCAAGTAAAAGCGATTGGCGCCGGCGCTGATGCCTGTAAAATACACCGATCGAGCCATGGCCGTGAACTGCTGTAGCAGCGAGTCGACCACTGGGTTTCCGCGCTCCCATCCCTGATTGGCAGCCTTGTAAAGCTCATGAGGTAGGCACGACCAGTATATGTACTTGTGCTGGAAAACCGGCGACCACGAAACTTGCAAAATTGGATGCTTTCTAACTCCTGTGCCTTCATCAATGTGAATTTTGCACGGTATGCACCATTCTAAGTTGCTATGGTCTGTGTATACTGGATGATGTGGGTAGTGCTTCTTGAACACTCGCCAGAAACGACGGAAACAGCCGTGGATTGCGTTCAGGTCACCCAAGTCGTGCCCATTCAAGAGCACACCAGGGCGCTTGCAAAGTAATTCTTCGGCCATTGATTTGATGCAAATGCACGAGTGCTTCACCATGGAGCCGCCGGGGGACATCAGCCCAAACTCCTCGATCTTGGCCCCAAAGCCATAGCCCAAACGAAACAATGCGCTGGTCAGTTCCTCCTCTGTTTTGCTCCCCTTGCCGTGAGATTCAGCCAGCATGGTGAGTTCAATGTAACCAGGGATTCCTGGTCTGGCGAGCCTAGCATTGGTGGCAGCGAGTTGCGCTGCCTCTGTAGCATGGCCAGCCTTGGCATGGTGTGATGCCGGAAGTGGAAGAGGGGTTTTGCGGTGATCCTGCTGAATACCACTTATTATAAAACAATGGTTGGTAAAACGAAAGCTACATTTTCCCAACTCTTTTCCCTGGTGAACGTCCTATGCAGCCTACCCTTTCACATGTTCCCAGGTTCTCTTGAACTTCTGTTTCATTATGAGCTTTGGCAATCCTCAAAGCTACACCGGCTGAGGTGCCACATACTTCACGGCCACCTCTTCGACTGCTTCCTCACCTGCGCCAGGGAGGTGAGGACTGGGTGCAACAAGTTTGTGTCGCGGGTACGCTCAAAGGCCACCTCGACCTCTTGTTTTGCACCGCGCAGCTGCTTGGTTTCCCCGCGTGAACAATCGTTGCCACCAGGGGTCTGCTTTCCCTGATTGAAACTCTTTTGCGAAGAAACTTTGGTGCGACAAACCGGATCCTTGCACTGAGTCCTTTTGAAACTGACACAGACCCCAGGCAACAGTTGTAAATGAACCATATAAATACCACAGTATTTGCGTCGCTCATGGAGCAGCCGCGGCTTTCGCCTTAGCCTTGCTTTTCGCGCTAGGCACTTTCTTCAGGTGTGTCCTGTGGGAGTGGGAATGTTGCAACCAGCTCCTGTTGCTCAACAAGGCAATGCGTTGGGGCCAGTCCTCAAAGCATTCATCTCGTTGGCGAATGTTATCAACCTGTATATGGCAACTCATGCCAATGCTTCACTGCATAGGCTTCCCTTGCAAACAAGGTGCAGTTTACGGATCGAGTCTGTCACAGCAGTGTACGATGCCTTGTCCAGCCTTGATCCAATGCAAGCATCAAACATGCACACATGAGCACGCAAAAGTCTAGAAACCTGTGCGAGGCATAAATGCAAAGCAAAACCAACGACAAGCCGCTTCCCCTGTTGCTCGGTCTCCATGTCGCACAGCGTCTTGTACGATGCCGAGAGTTGGCCTGGGAGGGGGGAAGGGTGAAACTTGTTTGGTCAACCGGAGCTGTTGGCAGCTAAGCGTCTGTGTGTTTTCTCAATGGCCTCCAAATCCTGCCTTAGAGCCACCAAGTTGAGGGCGCCAATATGTCACAGACATAAAGCCTTTTGCAATCAAGTTTCCGGTGAGTGGCGCAGTTTTCAGACTCAAGCCGGTCCCTCACCTCTTTCAGCAAGGACCTCTTGGACAAACAAGCTTTCTTGAACTTCATGAGGAACCCTTCCACGGTTTCCGGCCCCTCAAGGACTGGCAGTGCGCTACCAGCACCGCCACCCCTTTTCTTCTTTTCTTTTTCTGGCTCTTCGTTGTCTGGGTCATCATCCTCCACTTCGAAGGCATCGCCCACCCCCATATCCATGTTGTCTGACCAGAATCCTGCGCGGCAGGACTGGGCAGGGCAACCCTGAGATGAGGAGCGGCTTGCCTGAGGAATGCATCACCTCCTCCAACTCGCGCAACTTTTCTGTGCCCTTCCTCAAATCAATGCAGATAACATTTGGGCTTCTGTCATAACTGGGTTCTCTTTGCAGCAGTTTTGGGACGAAGGTCACACCAGATGGGTGTCTTTTTTTATGGGACCCGCTTGCAAACGGTGGGTTTCTTTTGGCTTCTCTTCAACACCGCAAAGCAAGGACCCCCCGTAAAGGAAACACCCATTTGCTTCAGCCCAGTCACTCCAGCTTGTCAGAGACCATGACCAAATATTTGCGGGCACCCTCGTACGGGCACTTCTTGAACAATTTGCGGGCCGTGCAGTACGCCTTTGCGCCTGCAATTTTGGTCCTTAGGTCGTGGCAACAATAAGGCATACGGCTAAAGTCTTTGAAGTCGATGTTGTTTGAAGCCAAGTGTCTCAGGCCATTTGAGCTCAGCCATTCCGCCCTCTGTCAACCATTCAAATCCCTGCACTCCCCGGGACCATTCTCGGGTCATTTGTTGAAGTTTCACCAGGCACTCCAGCTTTTCCTGGGGGGCAAACACGTCAGGAGCTTCAATCAATATTTCAACTCACACACTGGCAGCTCCTTATTCTCGTGGTGGCCTTGACGATGGTCGTAAACTTTTGTCACGAAGTCACGCAGCAACTTGCTGCGGGTAGACCCGCCTTGAAGCGCAAGTGACGCAAAAACATTGCGAGGCACCCCTTTTCAATCAGTATTGACTTGCCTGACTTCCATTTGGCCAGGATATCAGGGTTCGCGTTCTTCTCACTCTTGCACATCCTGTAGAGGAACATCCACTCCGTAGGATAGTTAAGCGAGTTGAAGGTGGACAGCGGTGCCCTGAGCTGGGCTTGTTGAACTGTTTCCTTTCCCTGGAAGAAACAAGCTTTGAACATCTTTGAATCACATTCCAAGTAGCACCACTGCTGGGGCGGCTGGGGCGGGCTCTGTGACAGGCGTGACGGCTGGCGGGGCCTGCTGCTGCTGCCTCTCAGTGTCTGGGCTCGGGGAAAGACGCGCCCTTTTGGTTGGGGGGGTGGTGAACGCCTCAGCTGCAGCAGGGGCATTGGTCAATTTGGCTCTTAAATAATTGGATGCGCTCGCACTGCTGGCAAGGCTTGTCACGGCACTTTGGGTGCTTGGGGCTGGGGACGGTGGCTGCTGCTGCTCTTGCTGCTGCTGCTCGTACAGCGGCTGGGCTTGTGTCACGGGCGAAGGGCCGGGCTGGGCCAGGTGTTGATGCTGGTGCAAAAGAGCCTGCAAAGCAGGGCTGCCCAGCAAGTTGATCACCATGGCCAACTGCTCCTGCAGGGTTTGTTGCGTCTGCTGAGGAGGCGCCTGCGCCTGTGCAGGGGGGTGCGGAAATGCGGGAGAGCGCACAACCTGTGCTCGGGGTTGTCCTGGCAGGCTGCTCAAAGGATGGGCAAGTGGCTGGCGCTGCAGAGGCTGGTGCAGTGAAGGCGAACCTGCAGCCTGGGGTTGGGGTCGTTGTTGCCCTGCAAGGTCATGCTGCTGCTGGCTGGGGTTGTGGCACGGTTGCGCACGTTGCTGCTCAAGGAGCTGTTGTTGGCCGGGGTCACGTGGCTGCAGCGCAAGCTGGGCTGGGA